GAAACTCATGAAAGCCACTCGCACTATTGACACTCATTTCCTGTGTGGCCTTGGGCAAATCATTGAATTTAATTACATTTTCAATGAAAAACTATTAGCCCAGATGGAGGGGAACCAATAGACTTCATGTGTCAGTGAAACTGGGCTAGTAAATTTCACTTTTTTATTTATAGTCGGTTTTCCTTGGGTTACACTTTCTAATTCTTGCACTTAGCAGGATGGTAACAATGGATGGATTTAGATACTTCAGAGGAAGGTTGTCGTTTTCATAATAAACCATTTCCCTCTGAAATTTTCACATTTCATGGGAACATCTGCAGTTGAGATGCTTTGTAAAAGCTTGGGGTATGTTCTGTTTCATATATGGTGTCTTCTTTGATTTGAAAATGATACACATCTACACATAAATACCAAACCTATCATGGACAAGCAACAGTTGTGACCCCAATATCCTAGATTGCGATGCCATTTCCCTTTCAGATACCTGAACCTCAATAACTACATAGCAATCTACTCTGGCTGTGTGTGTGTGTGTGTGTGTGTGTGTGTGTGTGTAATATAATATATGCGGGGGGGAGTAGGTTAAGGAAGGAGGAGGTTTATAGAGTGTGTTTGGGGCAAGGGAAAGAAGGGTTTAGGGATGAGTATATGGACATGACACTGCACCCTCTACTTCTGTGGTTAACTGGCCAGTTGATCTCTGCAGAGATCAAATATTAAACACAAAAGAAAAAATGTAAACATTTCTGAGGAAACCTTGTCTTGGAGCTGGGCTCTGAGGTGGGCCTGGGAAGCATCATTACTAAACTGATGAGAGAGTTGGAGATGTGCATAAGTGTTCTAGTAACTGTGATTAGTAGATGGGCTGACTAGCACAGCATTTCCCTGTGAGAGAGCAGTGCAGGTGTTGAGATGGAGCATAGACTTGCTCTGATAGCCTCATTAAGAGCTGTCCTTGGGAGATGACTCAATTCAGAGTGGAACGGGACTGCTACTGGCTGCTTCATTACTGTTATTTTTAATTGCATAGGTAATTTGAAAATCCCAGCCTCTCTTTGTTTGGATGGAATGTTTGAAACACACCATTGCTGTTGGTCAGGGACTACAGATCATGCATCCTGCAGCTGTCAGCCTGGTGCATGTGTATGAATCTGCACCTACAAGGCAAAATAGAGGAACCTGTACCTTATGCTACCTTTATAGGATATACTAAACTGCAAGCTGTGTCCAGCCTATCACAGTACTCCCTTGGGTGAACATTGTTGCACCTGATACTATGCACAGCTTGGGCAGGGGGGAGGGAGGAATGATCTCTAAGGGGGAGGAGAGAGAAAAATGGAGGTTTGAAATACCCTCCCCCCCCCCTTGCCCTCTCTCTGTTTGAGTGTAGCAAGGTGCTTTATGGCTGGGTGGCTGGTCTCCACCTTTTCAAAGTTAATGGGGCATGACAGGGAAGCAAAATAAAAGATAATTCCCCTTCCCCCCCATAAAATACATGACAAAAACTCTTCTTTTATTTTGTGTTGTGACTTGCATGATTTGGAATGAAGTTGGCGGGTCTCAGCCTGTCTACTGTTGGACAGATGTCCGTATCTCACAGATCCACCCCCGTGGCTGGCACTAACTTCCCTCATTGGCAGTCTCCGTGGAGAAACCAGGGACTGAATGGACCTAGCAAACTGATCTCTTCTCAGTTGGGAGGGTGTCCCTCCAGTTCAGAGCTGTAAGTAAATTGACAGCATATTCTGTGGTGGAAGCCTGAATTTGACACGCTTCCCTTGACATATCCTGGGGGTGACCAGAGGACTTCATGGAAGCACCTCTTACCTGCAGTGAATTCTGTACATAAGAAAAAGAAGTTCTGTGATTCTATTGCAAGGTTCCCAGGGTGAGTTTTATGTGGACTGCAAATTGCCCCATTTGAATTCAGACCAAAGAGTGATCTGTCCCCAGTTTCAGTTCCTTGAGTACTTCTCCTTGACAGAGACCTTAGCCAGGCCCTCTAGAATTCACCTAATGGTTCCAGTTCATTTCTGTGTAGTGCTAGTGACTTTACTGGGGTTACACTGGGGATGAATTTAGCCCTTTGTGCCTCTATGCATCTTAGATATCACCTATAGGCAGTTAAACATGTCTTGGCAGCCACAGTGGGTTATTGAAGTGAAATGATGGGCAAACTATTTATTGGAAGGGGCAGTGACTGAGGCTGGCCTTGGTTCTATTTTAAAAACCCCCACAGAGCACTCAGTAGTGTGTTCTACCTAGTAACTGTTGCCCTCACAGGACTCCTGTGCTAGGAATCACAGGTGGTGCTCAGTTCCTGGGGGCAACTGTGGGAGCTTGCAGTGTTCTGAAGAGACTACCTATGGCAGACAGTCGGAGAGGAGGGAAGATGAAAGCAATATCTCCCCTGAGCACCCACTCACCTCAAATACTGATCTGTATAAGTGAAAACTACGGTGGTGACAGGAGTCACTTTGACGTTGGTCCCAGGGAATCGTTGCCTGAGCAGGAATGAAATGATGGATCTGACACTGGCAGTCCTGCTTATTGCGTTATTGGGACAGATGAGAGAGTAATGTGTCATTGTACTTGTTGGTCAGCCTAATCCTGCTCCTTACCTTCAAAACAGGGCTGAAATTAACAGGAAAGAACTACGAGAGGCTTTTTCGCCTGGAACCTTGCATAGGTACTGGAACTACGGTGCTACAGCACCCCCTGGTTTGAAGTGATTTCCATTCTATACAGGGATTACAGTTTGGTTCAAAATGTCTCTCAGCACCCCCACTATACAAATTGTTCCAGCCCCCCTGGAACCTTGCTCATTTGTGTTCCATCCTTCAAATCATCCATGCCCGTACTGCGCTGCTACAACTTGGTCCCAGCCTCCTTGCCGTCCCCCTCTCTCCCTTGCTGGGATGTTCGAGCAAACATGGCCAGGATTTATTTCTTGCACATATGAGGGGTTTAGCATTTGGCATTTGTGACATGGATCACTGCATACAGCAGGATGCGGGTGCAGATGAATTCATATACAGTCGGCTTGCCCTGCACAATGATTTGGTTAAATGGGAATTGAGATTAATACTGGATTTAAGTTTCTCATAGTTGGCTGGTAATAACCTAATCTCCTCTAGGGCTGCAGGCAGGCAGGCAGCATTTCACTCAAGGCAGTTTGTGTTTGCAAAACCTGAAAGAAATTGAATTTTGATACTGAGAGGGTTTTAACCAGAGCCTTTTAAAATACAGTATATGCACTTTCCATTGCTATCTCAAATGCAGCCTTTTAATTTCTATATTGTGTGACATTCACCTAGGTTCTCAGGTCTGATGGACGTTTGACAGTAATATTTCTCATTTTGTTCCCTAAGAGCTTAGCACCTTAGATCAGTTTTATAAATGTATAAATTACATTCTGGAAGTTGATAAAGTGAAATCTTTTTAGACAGATGGAGAAAAATGTTTGCACAGGGCAGTGAGTGCTCTTCAATTTAAAGAGAGTTTAGGTTCCTGAAAGCTCTTTAGGTGGCTCAGGAGATTGGTAATGGGATCTGTGGAGCATTTCATGACTGTGTTGTCAGTTCAAGTCCCATCTGGCTTGGTTGTTACTGTGTGATAGGGAGAGATGGTTTGGTCTATGCACTTTCCAGAACCAAACAGCACAATTAACACGAAGGCTCAAATTTTGAAGGTGTGTGCGCGTGCCTGCGGTTTTTGCATTTGCAATTAACTGAGACTGCAGTCCTTCCCCTTAACATCTGTGTATCTGGTTTGCATTTTCATTCAGATATTTAGCCATCTAAATAGTAAGATTTGCACCTGCAATTAATTGGGTGGGGCGAAAAAGTGAGTATAATTTTGCAGGCTTAAAATTGCATCGGCAAAAAGGGCGGCTGGGCTGAGGTTTGCCTGAAAGTCCAGTCTAAATTTCTCTTGTTTCAGAGGAACTTGACTGACCTGGCCTGAGCCTAGGAGAGTACCTGGCAAAGAATAGCTCCCTGCCCTCCACACCAGCACGAAGGGGGTAAAAGAGGAGAAGATGAGAACCAATAGCTCCTTGCAGCTTCCTGATTCTCTTCCCCAGCCCTGGTACAGGTTAGAACCATCTGAGAGCTGCTCTAACTCGCACTAGCTAGCAAAGGTACCCTAGCTGCCACCCTCCAGCTGCTTCCCTTCCCTGCTCAGCCAAGGATTACAAATGAGCCACAGAGCCTGAATAGAACTGAGGCACATTGCCAGGGAATGGTGTGGGGAAAGCTTGCCCTGCCTGTGTTCTTGCAATAACAGCTCTGAGAATAAACGGAGGACTTGTTTGCAGAGCTGTCTGTATACCTTTGGGTAGAACTAAATCCATTCCATATTTTTTTATTTTATTTAAATTCATGCCCTAATATTCTGAATCTCTCCCTCTGTTGTCTTTCAGCATCCGTTCCCTTGTTTGTTCTCCTTGCTAAGGTTGCTTTCCCTCTCCCTTTGCCTGCTAATGCAAAAACCTGTTATCAAATCATCATAATAATCTTCTTAAAACAGATATGCTTCAAAGCATTTACTGTCATCGTCTCCTAGGCTCCTATTACCATAAAGCATGAGGCCTTCTCTGAGGTTTGACATCCCCTGCATAACTTAAGTTTACTCTGCCAGCTCTCTCTGTGGATTTGAAGCACAGAGACAGATTGAAATTCTGACTTCCCAAGGCTCAGAGTTCATATGATGACTTGATTAAGATTTGAAAAGCAGCCTCTTTATTTCATCCATTATTTCTGTCTCTCTCTCCCACTCTTTGTTCACGGGGAATGGGAAAGTGTCAGAAATGCCCAAACAAATGGGATTCAGGTCTATTCAACAGAGCTGCAGCTCCATGAGTCCCACGCCTGGGAAGTTTGTTAGTTTGAAAACAGGATAATGGGAAAGATCCTATTTTAGTGCCTTGTAAAAAGATCGGAGGCTAATTTAATTCTTTATTTTTTCATTCCTTTTATTCACTTTCTTCTCCTTCACAGAGTATAATGGTTAGGAGAACTGAATAGAGAAGAAACCTGGAAGAACTTGGCACCTGGCAGTGACTGGAGGGAGAGAGAGATCTATGCAAACTGTACCAGCAGAAGGAGGTGTGTTTGGGGATAAGTAAGAGGATCTGGTCTTGTTTGGTTAAGAGTCTTTAGGCCCCAGCAGGGGTCATGCAGCCCAGTTTATAGGTGCACAGCCTCTCTGTGTTACCTGTTGTTTTGTTTGTTCTCTCAGCTGATAGGATATTTTTTGTCATGGGTAGAGGACTGGGCTAAAGCTGGCAAAGGTTTCTGTGAACCAGACTGAGGATATGTCTACACTACGAAATCAGGTCGAATTTATAGAAGTCGGTTTTTTAGAAATCGTTTTTATATATTTGAGTGTGTGTCCCCCCACAGAAAATGCTCTAAGTGCATTAACTCGGCGGAGCACTTCCACAGTATCGAGGCAAGTGTCGACTTCCGGAGTGTTGCACTGTAGGGAGCTATCCCACAGTTCCCGCAGTCTCCGCTGCCCATTGGAATTCTGGGTTGAGATGCCAATGCCTGATGGGGCTAAAACATGCCCCCATTCCCTCCCTCCCTCCGTGAAAACAGCAGCAGACAATCGTTTCGCGCCTTTTTTCTTGAGTTACCTGTGCAGACGCCATACCACGGCAAGCATGGAGCCTGTTCAGCTCACTGTCACCATATGTCTCCTGGGCGCTGGGAGATGTGGTACTGCATTGCTACACAGCAGCAGCAACTCCTTGCCTTGTGGCAGCAGACGGTGTAGTAGGACTGGTAGCCGTCATCGTCATGTCCGAGGTGCTCCTGGCCACTTCGGCCAGGAGCGCCTGGGCAGACATGGGTGCAGGGACTACATTAGAAGTGACTTGACCAGGTCATTCTCTTTAGTCCTGCAGTCAGTCCTATTGAACCATCTTATGGTGAGCAGGCAGGCGATACGGATTGCTAGCAGTCCTACTGTACCATCTTCTGCCAGGCAGGCAAGAGATTAGGATGGCTAGCAGTCCTACTGCACCATCTTCTGCCAAGCAGCTATGAGATGTGGATGGCTTGCAGTCCTTCTGCACTGTCTGCTGCCAGCCAAAGATGTAAAAGATAGATGGAGTGGATCAAAACAAGAAATAGACCAGAGTTGTTTTGTACTCATTTGCTTCCTCCCCTCCCCCGTCTAGGGGACTCACTCCTCTAGGTCACACTGCAGTCACTCACAGAGAAGGTGCAGCGAGGTAAATCTAGCCATGTATCAATCAGAGGCCAGACCAACCTGCTTGTTCCAATAAGAACAATTACGTAGGTACACCATTTCTTATTGGAACCCTCCGTGAAGTCCTGCCTGAAATACTCCTTGATGTAAAGCCACCCCCTTTGTTGATTTTAATTCCCTGTAAGCCAACCCTGTAAGCCATGTCATCAGTCGCCCCTCCCTCCGTCAGAGCAACAGCAGACAATCATTCCGCACCTTTTTTCTGTGCGGACGCCATACCAAGGCAAGCATGGAGGCTGCTCAGCTCACTTTGGCAATTAGGAGCACATTAAACACCACACGCATTATCCAGTAGTATATGCAGCACTAGAACCTGGCCGAGCAGTACCGGGCAAGGAGGCGACGTCAGCGCGGTCACTTGAGTGATCAGGACATGGACACCGATTTCTCTGAAAGCATGGGCCCTGCCAATGCATGCATCATGGTGCTAATGGGGCAGGTTCATGCTGTGGAACGCCAATTCTGGGCTCGGGAAACAAGCACAGACTGGTGGGACCACATAGTGTTGCAGGTCTGGGACGATTCCCAGTGGCTGCGAAACTTTCGCATGCGTAAGGGCACTTTCATGGAACTTTGTGACTTGCTTTCCCCTACCCTGAAGCGCATGAATACCAAGATGAGAGCAGCCCTCACAGCTGAGAAGCGAGTGGTGATAGCCCTGTGGAAGCTTGCAACGCCAGACAGCTACCGGTCAGTTGGGAATCAATTTGGAGTGGGCAAATCTACTGTGGGGGCTGCTGTGATGCAAGTAGCCAACGCAATCAAAGATCTGCTGATATCAAGGGTAGTGACCCTGGGAAATGTGCAGGTCATAGTGGATGGCTTTGCTGCAATGGGATTCCCTAACTGTGGTGGGGCCATAGACGGAACCCATATCCCTATCTTGGCACTGGAGCACCAAGCCGCCGAGTACATAAACCGCAAGGGGTACTTTTCGATAGTGCTGCAAGCTCTGGTGGATCACAAGGGACGTTTCACCAACATCACCGTGGGATGGCCGGGAAATGTACATGACACTCGCATCTTCAGGAACTCTGGTCTGTTTCAAAAACTGCAGGAAGGGACTTTATTCCCAGACCAGAAACTAACTGTTGGGGACGTTGAAATGCCTATATGTATCCTTGGGGACCCAGCCTACCCCTTAATGCCATGGCTCATGAAGCCGTACACAGGCAGCCAGGACAGTAGTCAGGAGCTGTTCAACTACAGGCTGAGCAAGTGCAGAATGGTGGTAGAATGTGCATTTGGATGTTTAAATGCGTGCTGGCGCAGTTTACTGACTCGCTTAGACCTCAGCGAAACCAATATTCCCACTGTTATTACTGCTTGCTGTGCGCTCCACAATATCTGTGAGAGTAAGGGGGAGACGTTTATGGCGGGGTGGGAGGTTGAGGCAAATCGCCTGGCTGCTGGTTACGTGCAGCCAGACACCAGGGCAGTTAGAAGAGCACAGGAGGGCGCGGTACGCATCAGAGAAGCTTTGAAAACCAGTTTCATGACTGGACAGGCTACAGTGTGAAAGTTCTGTTTGTTTCTCCTTGATGAAACCCCCCGCCCCTTGGTTCACTCTACTTCCCTGTAAGCTAACCACCCGCCCCTCCTCCCTTCAATCACCGCTTGCAGAGGCAATAAAGTCATTGTTGCTTCATATTCATGCATTCTTTATTCATTCATCACACAAATAGAGGGATGACTACCAAGGTAGCCCAGGAGGGGTGGTGGAGGAGGGAAGGAAAATGCCACACAGCACTTTAAAAGTTTACAACTTTAAAATTTATTGACTGCCAGCCTTCTGTTTTTTGGGCAATCCTCTGGGGTGGAGTGGCTGGTTGGCCGGAGGCCCCCCGACCGCATTCTTGGGCGTCTGGGTGAGGAGGCTATGGAACTTGGGGAGGAGGGCGGTTGGTTACACAGGGGCTGTAGTGGCAGTCTGTGCTCCAGCTGCCTTTGCTGCAGCTCAACCATGCGCTGGAGCATATTCAATGCTGAAGCTTCAGCTTCAGCATTGAATCCTGCCTCCTCTCATCACGCTGCCGCCACATTTGAGCTTCAGCCCACCACTTACTCTCTTCAGTCCGCCACCTCTCCTCCCGGTCATTTTGTGCTTTCCTGCACTCTGACATTATTTGCCTCCACGCATTCGTCTCTGCTCTGTCAGTGTGGGAGGACAGCATGAGCTCAGAGAACATTTCATCACGAGTGCGTTTTTTTTTTCTTTCTAATCTTCACTAGCCTCTGGGAAGGAGAAGATCCTTCTCAAGATGTGATCATTGAAACACATGCAGCTGGTGGAGAAAAAAAAAGGGACAGTGGTATTTAAAAAGACAGATTTTATAAAACAGTGGCTACACTCTTTCAGGGTAAACCTTGCTGTTAACATTACATACATAGCACATGTGCTTTCGTTACAAGGTTGCATTTTGCCTCCCCCCACCGCGTGGCTACCCCCTCAACCGTCCCCCCTCCCCGTGGCTAACGGCGGGGAACATTTCTGTTCAGCCACAGGCAAACAGCCCAGCAGGAATGGGCTCCTCTGACTGTCCCCTGAAGAAAAGCACCCTATTTCAACCAGGTGACCATGAATGATATCTCACTCTCCTGAGGATAACACAGAGAGATAAAGAACGGATGTTGTTTGAATGCCAGCAAACATACACTGCAATGCTTTGTTGTACAATGATTCCCGAATACGTGTTACTGGCCTGGAGTGGTAAAGTGTCCTACCATGGAGGACGCAATAAGGCTGCCCTCCCCAGAAACCTTTTGCAAAGGCTTTGGGAGTACATCCAGGAGAGCAGCGAATGCCAGGGCAAAGTAATCTTTTCACATGCTTGCTTTTAAACCATGTATAGTATTTTAAAAGGTACACTCACTGGAGGTCCCTTCTCCGCCTGCCGGGTCCAGGAGGCAGCCTTGGATGGGTTCGGGGGCTCCAGGTCCAGGGTGAGAAACAGCTCCTGGCTGTCGGGAAAACCAGTTTCTCCGCTTGCTTGCTGTGAGCTATCTACAACCTCCTCCTCCTCATCATCTTCTTCGTCCCCAAAACCTGCTTCCGTGTTGCCTCCATATCCATTGAAGGAGTCAAACAACATGGTTGGGGTAGTGGTGGCTGAACCCCCTAAAATGGCATGCAGCTCATCATAGAAGCGGCATGTTTGGGGCTCTGACCCGGAGTGGCCATTCGCCTCTCTGGTTTTCTGGTAGGCTTGCCTCAGCTCCTTAAGTTTCACACGGCACTGCTTCGGGTCCCTGTTATGGGCTCTGTCCTTCATGCCCTGGGAGATTTTGACAAAGGTTTTGGCATTTCGAAAACTGGAACGGAGTTCTGATAGCACGGATTCCTCTCCCCATACAGCGATCAGATCCTGTACCTCCCGTTCAGTCCATGCTGGAGCTCTTTTGTGATTCTGGGACTCCATCATGGTCACCTCTGCTGATGAGCTCTGCATGGTCACCTGCAGCTTGCCACGCTGGCCAAACAGGAAATGAGATTCAAAAGTTTGCGGTTCTTTTCCTGTCTACCTGGCCAGTGCATCTGAGTTGAGAGTGCTGTCCAGAGCGGTAACAATGGAGCACTCTGGGATAGCTCCCAGAGGCCAATACCGTCGAATTGTGTCTACAGTACCCTGAATTCGACCCGGCAAGGCCGATTTACGTGCTAATCCACCTGTCAGGGGTTGAGTCAGGAAATCGATTTTAAGAGTCCTTTAAGTCGAAAAAAAGGCCTTCATCATGTGGACGGGTACAGGTTTACATCGATTTAACGCTGCTAAATTCAACCTAAAGTCCTAGTGTAGACCAGGGCTGAGTGATGACACAATACCACTTG